AGGATTTGCCGGGAGTACCTCCTGCGAGGCAAGTAGAGTTTGGTATCGATCTGGTTCCGGGGGCTGCGCCTATTGCGAAGGTGCCTTATCGTCTTGCACCTCCAGAGATGCAAGAGTTGTCCTCGCAACTCCAGGAGTTGCTGGGGAAGGGATTTATTCGGCCGAGTAGCTCGCCGTGGGAGCACCGATTCTATTCGTCAAGAAGAAGGATGGTTCACACCGGATGTGTATTGATTACCGGGAGTTGAACAAGGTGACGGTCAAGAACCGCTATCCGTTACCGAGGATCGATGATCTATTCGATCAGTTGCAAGGGGCATCTTGGTTTTCCAAGATCGATCTGAGATCAGGGTACCATCAGGTAAGAGTGCGGGATGAGGACGTCCAGAAGACAGCATTCAGGACGCGGTATGGGCATTACGAGTTCGTGGTGATGCCTTTGGGCTCACCAATGCCCCGACAGTGTTCATGGACCTCATGAACAGGGTATGCAGGCCGATGCTGGATCGGTCTGTGATTGTATTTATCGACGACATCCTAGTATATTCGCGAACTAGAGAGCAGCATGAGAGACATTTGAGGGAGGTCCTTGAAGTACTGAGGTCGGAGAAGCTATATGCAAAATTCTCCAAATGTGACTTCTGGTTGCGGGAGGTCCAATTTCTTGGACATGTTGTTAATCAGGCAGGGATATTGGTCGATCCGGCCAAGGTGGAAGCAGTGATGAGTTGAGGCACCGAAGTCACCTTCCGAGATCAGGAGTTTCCTTGGGTTGGCGGGGTACTATCGGAGATTTATTAGGGACTTCTCCAAGATCGCGGTACCGCTCACCAGATTGACCCGGAAGGGTGTTACATTCTCATGGGGACCCGAGCAGCAGACTTCCTTCGAGACACTTCGTCAGAGACTGTGCGAAGCCCCGGTATTAGCTCTCCCGGAAGGGATGGAGGATTTTGTCGTATATTGCGACGCGTCGATTTCGGGACTGGGTGCGGTGTTGATGCAGAGAGGTCATGTGATAGCTTATGCGTCGAGGCAGCTGAAGCCTCATGAGGCGAGATATCCCACACATGACTTAGAGTTGGGGGCAGTGGTGTTCGCTCTCAAGATATGGCGTCACTACCTGTACGGGTTCGTTGTACTATATACACGGACCATAAGAGTTTGAAGTATTTGATGGATCAACCCAACCTAAATATGCGTCAGAGGAGATGGTTGGACGTGGTTAAGGATTATGACTGTGAGATCCTATACCACCCAGGCAAGGCTAATGTGGTAGCCGATGCATTGAGTCGTAGAGCGGAGAGCACTCCATTGCGAGACGTATGTTTGAGACTGACAGTGATGACCCCGATATTGGATGCTATTCGTGGGGCGCAGGCCGAGGCTGTGAGATCCGAATGCAGAAGAAAGAGAGAGTCGTTGGGTTAATTTCAGAGTTCGTTAAGGATGGACGAGGACTTTTGACGTTTCAGGGTCGGATTTGGGTACCATTCGTGGGCGGTACGCGTACTATTTTGATGGAGGAGGCTCATAGATCGAAATTCTCGATCCATCCCGGTGCTACGAAGATGTATTTGGACTTGAGGAAGGAATATTGGTGGCCTTGTTGAAGAGAGACGTCGCATGGTTCGTTGAGAGGTGTTTGACCTGCCGTAGGGTTAAGGCCGAGCACCAGAGACCGCATGGTAAGTTGCAGCCCTTGGAGATTCCTGAGTGGAAGTGGGAACAGATTACGATGGATTTCATCACCAAATTGCCGAGAACTGCAGAGGAGTCGATGCAATTTGGGTGATTGTGGATAGGTTGACGAAGAGTGCACACTTCCTTGCCATTAGCGAGAGTTCATCAGCGGAGAAGTTGGCGGAGTTATACGTGAGAGAATAGTATCTCGGCATGGAGTGCCGATCTCGATTGTTTCAGACCGTGATGTACGCTTCACTTCCAGGTTCTGGAAGAAATTCCATGAGGAGCTGGGTACTAAACTGCATTTTAGTACCGCATACCATCCCCAGACAGACGGTCAGAGCGAGCGGACGATTCAGACATTGGAAGACATGCTTAGAGCGTGTGTGTTAGACTTCGGGGGTAGCTGGGATGCATTTGCCTTTGGCTGAGTTTTCCTACAACAACAGCCATCATTCGAGCATTGGTATGCCACCTTTTGAGTTGTTGTATGGTAGGAGGTGTCGGACCCCCATTTGCTGGGGAGAGGTGGGTCAGAGAGTGATGGGCAGTACAGAGATCGTACTCCAGACGACAGAGCAGATTCAGCAGGTTAGGCAGAGATTATTGACCGCCCAAAGCCGACAGAAGAGTTATGCGGACAGACGCCGGTCCGAGCTGGAATTCCAGGTCGGCGACTTCGTTCTCCTGAAGGTTTCTCCTTGGAAGGGAGTGATCCGGTTCAGAAAGAGGGGCAAGTTGGGGCCCCGGTTCATAGGTCCATTTCGGGTAATTGCAAGGGTAGGTCGGGTAGCTTATCGGTTGGAGTTGCCAGCAGAGTTGGGACAGATTCACAATACCTTTCACGTATCACAGTTGAGGAAGTGTATAGCCGATGAATCGGCGGTGGTTCCGTTAGAGGATATTCAGGTGGATGCGAGCCTGAATTACGCCGAGAGACCAGTAGCTATTAGGGATCGGAAGATCAAGGTTCTGCGGAACAAGGAAGTACCTCTGGTGTTGGTTCAGTGGCAACACCGGAAGGGATCGAGATGACTTGGGAGCCGGAGCGTGAAATGCGGGAGCAACATCCGGAGTTATTCGCAGAGTGAGACTTCGAGGGCGAAGTCTAGTTCTAGTGGGGGAGAGTTGTAACAGCCCGGAATTTCAGGTATTGTTTTAAAACTATTTTGGGGCATTTTAGGAGGGACTCGGCGAGTTGGTGCCTGACTCGCCGAGTAGGACCACAGACTTGGTCGCAGATTCGCGACTGGACTCGACGAGTCCATTAGGGACTCGGCGAGTCGACGCTGTTCAGCAGAAACCCTAGCCGTTTGGTTTTGGATCGTTTATAACGCCTCTTAGGCCGTCATTGTTCGTTTTTGCTTACTGAGAAGAACCCTAGAACGATTGTGTGCATCTGGAACAAGGATTGAAGACCATTGTTGGGTTTGGAAGAGTTGTGTGCAAGGAAGAGGAAGGTTTAGCTAAAGGAACAGCAAGAGAATCACGTTCTGAGGATTGGGGACACAGAAAGTGCATCAATCAGGTAATATCTCGGATTTCGTTCTTCTGTGATTGATGTGTATATGAAGTTAGGGTTTATAGAACCCATTTGATGATTAGAGGGATTATTATGTTGTTACCCAAGTGTTTATACCCCAGTAATAGGATGTTTAGAGGTCCAGATAGTCCCATGAGTGTGTATTTCGGGACCATACGTGTTTCAGGAAGCAGTTGATCGACTGCATGGCATGGACTCGCCGAGTCGGATGAGCAGACTCGGCGAGTAGCTTGAAGATTCACTGGGACTCGCCGAGTTGTTCTTCAGACTCGGCGAGTGGAGTCGGGGTGGCCCCGCGATTCTTCCACGAGGACCTCGTCGAGTCAAGAGGGATACTCGACGAGTAGAAGGGGAACAACAGGGAAATTTGGGGAGGACGTCTAGACTCGCCGAGTCGCCTTTGCACTCGACGAGTCGGTCAAGTTGACCGTTGACCAGAGTTGACCTGCATGTAAATTCTTAGGGTCAGTTGTCTTGAATGATAAGAGTATTAATAAGGGTATATGGTATTATAGGGAGTCTGCAGATCGGCGGATCGAGTGCGAGTAGTTTCAAGAGTTGATAGCTTACATTACCACGAGGTGAGTCTTCTCACTATACTGTACCCGGAAGGGTTTGACTGTGTGACCGGAAGGTCGGATATGTTATGTGTTATATATATGCTATAATTGAAAGGAATAGTTGCTATGCATGCTATGTATGTTTCTATGGGCCGGAAGGCAATGTATTATGTGACAGGAAGGTCAGGTATGATATATGATATATGTGATATATGTGTTAGAGTAAATGTATTATGTGTTATATATGTTTATGGGCCGGAAGGCAATCATGTTATGGGCCGGAAGGCAATTATCTTATGGGCCAGAAGGCAATTATCTTATGGGCCGGAAGGCGATTATCATATGGGCCGGAAGGCATTGTACTGTGGACCGGAAGGTCCGGGCCTGGAAAGGCGTATATGTGTAAGTGGTATACTGGGGAACTCACTAAGCATTTATGCTTACAAGTTGTTATGTATGTGTTTCAGGTGCTAGCGAGGACCGTGGGAAGGCGCCGGCATGATGCATACACACTGCTGCTATTTGAGATCTTGGGGATTTTACATATGTATTTGTTTGAAACATGAAATAAATTTTATTGGTTGAATGAACTCACTTTATTTAAAATGAAAAATTTATTTGAAAATTTGCGTTGTTACACAAACTCTTTGATTTTCTCATCGAAGTAAGATTCCATCTACGAGACGCTTGCTTAAGTCCATAAATGGATTTCTCAAGCTTACACACTCTACCTAATAATAAAAATTAAGTTTAAGAATACCTACCCTTTTACTCTAAAATGCATTTAGTGTTATAGGTTAAATTTTCAGATTTTAACCAAATACAACAGCCTGTTGAAGGCCTGTTTTACCCCTCTTACTGCACCAAACCAACTTATGAAATCATTCTCAAGAAGCTTAGTTAAATAACTTTTCAGGGACTACTCACACATGTTCGTATGATTTTTTGACAACTTTAGGTGAATTTTATAAAATTGAACATCATTGCAACTCATTTCAAACTAGTTTGGAAACGCGGACACTTTCACCCTAGTTAGGATCCATATCAGATCAAGGGAAAAATTAGGGACAAAGTAGACTTAAATATGAACTTTCATAGTTTAAGGATCCTAATTCCAACTCCTGATGATTTTTCTTACAAGACTAGCTTGGAAACCAACTTATGAAATCATTCTCAAGAAGCTTAATTTTCCAGCCGGTGGTGAAAATAATCTAAAGAAATCTTGGGTACATCAAAATTTTGTCTCTCTTGTTTCCTTCAATATTTAGAACCAGTTCATGCACGATAAACTTTGAAAAATTGAATTCAATGCCGAAAGCCAAAGCTGTGATGGCACCTGTATTGACCAGAGAGATTTCGTCCGTAGCAGATCTCCTACCAGAAATACAGCTCACAAATACATGACCTAAATTTTTCGAGCAGGGAGGAAGCAGTTTCTTGATGGTAAGAGGAAATGTTCCCTCATACCCCATGTGGTCTAGAACATCTTGAGTTTGATGCACATCAATTTCCATTGAATATTCTGGTTTGTCATCAATTTGAAGTGATTCTCGAATAATCCTTTTTGAAATTTGAATCTTCTTTCCTTGTATTGTGGCTTCAAGAAAGATAGCTGAGTTGTGAACTTTTATGAATTCTAGATCTCCCGTTTTAATCTGAAAAGAAACACATGCATACATTAGGGTAAAAATAATTTTAACCATACTTATTCCAACTGTTCATGATTGCTCACACACAATGAAGGGTGCAACCGCACATGAGAATTTAAGCAACCGCACATGTGGATGTGTGCAGCCGCACACGAGATTCATTACACAAGAAGTGTGTGCAGCCGCACACATCACGGGCCGCACACAAGTTTGTGTAGCCGCACACGGTCCAGCCGCACACAGCATGTGCGGCCGCACTCGCCGTGTGAGGTCGCACACAGCATCGAAAAACAAAATCTTCGATTAAACACAAGTTTTTGATCTTTTTTGCATTAAAGATGCATTATGGGAGTCGTTTTTGCAATTATTACCGGTATGAAGCTTCAATTTCTGAAAAATGAAGATTTTTGGAGGTTTTTAGAGAGAGAGAGAAAAGCAAGAGCCGTGTGCGGTTGAGTTTTTGAAGTGGGTAAACAGTGGAAAGCAAAGGAACCGCACACTCCCTTATAAATCTTTTCAAATTGTGGGCTTCCCTTCATTATTTAAATCCTAAGCCCAATACTCCAACATTTTTAAAAAATAAATCACTTTGTGGATTAAAAATTTAGAATTTATTATTCGTAAAATTTTTAACATAAAATAAAATGAAAATTCTAATAATAATAGAACTTAATTGTAATTTTAATCCTCTAAATTGTTTATCCTTTTGTGATGTGGGATCAAAGTTGTTGGACAATCTTAATCCGTTTCTCAGTACCTTCCCCTTCGTGAATAGATCTTGTCGATCGTCGGTATTGTGGTCAACTTATGCACGAAAAATTGTGACAAATTTTGGACGTGCTATAAGTGACAAGACAAGTTGATTCTATGTTCCTAGATAAAACTTTCTAAGGACCATTCATTTGACGACGACCAACGATATTGTTGTCCACCTAAGTTGAGCAGCGAGATCTACAGACAATCTATATCTGTTCAATTTTAGTTGTACTAGAATGTGTTTCCGCTTCCTGATATACCCCAATAATCAAGAACTTCCGAGATACTCCTTACTTTAGGTGAGCAGAGTATTATTCATAGAGAGGATAGATTCAGATTATTATTAATTATAGTTTTTAGAGAGATTGAGAAGTAGAAGGGTGCATAAGCTGTGTACCAGGTCGGATTGTTAATCACACAAAGGAGACAACATATGCAGAGAGATAGATTTGCATATGTTGCAGTTCAGGTCAGATCTCTTCCAATCACGTAAAGGAGGCCACATATGACTAACAGTAAGAAAGAAGGAAGATAATTTTCTACAAACCTACTTTATCGGAATTCCCCAATCGCTCCGTCAATACCGAAGTTAAGGGCAGAATCCGTACATCAAGGAAAAGTTAAGCCACAGTTCTAGATACGGGTTCTTTAATGTGACTGGTGGATTCTCATGTATATCTCCCTGCTCAACCTATCCGAGCGTCATATTTTCAGGCTAAACGGATCTATCTAGGTCAAGATTTGTCAGGTCATTTGATTTCTTACGTTCATCTTTGCCTAGTCAAGCCCATTAAATTCTTCATGCCTACCAGCGCATCAAACATAGAGCCTAAACAATTCAGCTTTGGTATTTTACACATACTCAGATTCCCCGTTATCACTTGTTGATATCACTTCCCAATACATATGATTGAAATTTCTTTTTATTTTGTTGTTTTTCTAATGTTTTTCGATTTTTTGATTTTCTATTGTTTATTTTTTTTTCCTGATTTTCTATTGTTTTTGGATTTTCTTATTTTCTATTGTTGTTGGATTTTTGGTTATTTCTCCCCCTAAATTTGTCCATAGAAGAGAAAAAAATGCATAAATTTAAACTAAAATAAACAAAAAAATTTAATCCTCAAAGTGAATCATTTTTAAAAAATTAACCAACACATCAAATCGAGCTTTGTTAAATGGTTTGGTGAATAGATCCGCTACATTATTATCAGAGCGGACCTGTTCTAGCCGAATGAGCGAGCGCTCATAAGATTCTCTAATGAAATGGATTTTTATTTCGATGTGCTTGGTTTTTGAGCGTTGGACAAGATTTTTGGCAATTTGGATCACAACCTCATTGTAACAGCCGGATTTTATCAGGTATCTTGTTTATTGTTATTTTGTTGATTTGTGGGGGGACTCGGCGAGTTGGAGCTCAGACTCGCCGAGTAGGGACGCTGATTTGGACGCGCGGTCGCGCCTGGACTCGACGAGTCCAGGATACGGACTCGGCGAGTCAGCGCTGTGTAATGAAACCCTAATTTCTCGGGTTTGAAACTTATTTAAAGGGCCTAATGGCCATCATTTGTGCTCACCAGCCCATTGAGTGAAACCCTAATCGAGTGTGAGCATTTGGAGCTAAGTAGGAGGCCATTATTGACCTTGGAGGTGCCATTGTTGCAAGGAAGGACAAGAGCTAGCCAAGGGAAAGCAAGAGGAGCCACTTCTGTGGGTTTGGAGTCCAGAGCATCACTTTTGTGGTAATAATTCCGAGTTACCTTCTTGTTTGTTGTTGTTTATCTAGATTTAGAGTTTGTTGAACCCTTTTATGGAAAGATTTAGTGCCTCTTGGTCCCTTATGAGGTTGGAACCATAGATCTGGACCCTTAGAGGTCCAGAGTGTCCCTTTACCCAAGCTTTTTGAGAATCAATGGAGGCTTTGGATTGGAATCCTCATGCCTTAGGTCAAAAACTCCATTTATGAGCTATAGGGTGTGTTATGAGCACCAAGATAGGAGCTTTACGTGATGAATCAGTCAGGGAGGCCAGATCTATAGTTTTTGGAAGCAGATCTGACCTTAGAAGCGAGTTGGAGTGGTTGCATGGCATGGACTCGCCGAGTCTGTTCATCCGACTCGGCGAGTAGCTTGAAGATTGCCTTGGGACTGCTCAGCGAGTGGTCCAATCGAGTCATGGGTAGACTCAGTGAGTCAGGGTGAGTTGGAGAGGGATGACGAGTGGACTGAGTCAAACTTGGACTCGCCGAGTTGTCCTTGAGACTCGGCGAGTTGAGTCGGGGTGGCCCCGCGATTCATTCAGGTGAAACTCGTCGAGTAAAGGGGGAATACTCGACGTGTAGTAAGGGATTTCAAGGGTTGGTGAAAATGTCTACACTCGCCGAGTCGGAATGGTACTCGTCGAGTCTGGTCATAGTTGACCGTTGACCGTTGACCGTTGACCGTTGACCAGAGTTGACCTGTGATTGACTTCTTATGGATAGTCAACCTTAGAGTGTTAATTAGAAACATATAATGTTATAGGAGGATTAGAGCTCGGAGGATCGAGCACGAGGGATTGCCAGGATTCGTGAGATACCGAGATACGCGAGGTGAGTCTTCTCACTATACTATATTACCTTGAGTAGGTAACCAGAGTTATGTGATAGAGTGTTTGTATGCTATGTATGTTATGTGTTGTACTGCATTATTTCTATGTGATTTATGTAGTGCATGTTTATCAGAGCTAGAACCTGAGGGTTCACAGAGTTTGGGTGCACGGACCCACAGAGTTATAGCCTCGAGTGGCTAATATGTGTTATATGTGGTATTTTGGGGAACTCACTAAGCCTTGTGCTTACAGTGTTTGATGTTATTGTTTCAGGTACTAGTGACGACCGCGGGAAGGCGCCGGCTTGATCCGTACACACACACTCGGAGTTTTTACATTGTGATCTTGGGATTTTGTATTAACCTATATTGGATAATTAATATGGTTGTTTGATGAATATTAATCGAATTATGTTTTATAAGAAAATTGAAAAATTTGTTTTGAAATTTACGGTGTTACAATTTGGTATCAGAGCCTTGGTTTGAGGGATTCGGGTACACCTTCGGGAGTATTTGAACTCAAACTGAGGAATTGGAAAGATATTTTCAAAAGAAAACCTAACTTTTCTAAGAGTAAAAGATTTTCTTGAAAAAGAAACAAATTCCAGGAAGAAACGTGTGTACGATCAGTCAGCACCCGAACGGTGAATTCCCAAAATACCTTTATATTACGTGATATTAATATTGATATGATGTATCTGCATGCTAGAGTAGGCTAGGTATTGCTAATAGGACTAGAGTGGCCTGATTTGTGATGCCTTAGCCTAGGGAGGGGTGAGCTGCTATGAGATGCTGAGAGTGAGTAGGTAGCAGCAAGGGGTTTATGAGAGATCTATTAGAGAGTGGTCTACGCATGATAGAGTACTTGGGAATTGGGATCCGAAGAGGAAGGTTTGGGGTGTGTACTGAGACGGTGTGGACAGTAGTATTGGGCCTGTACTACTGAAAGCACCGGGGCAGTACACAGTCCAAATAAGAATCTTGGGATACCAAGAATCAAGGAGAGGTGGATTGTCGAGTGTAAGAATGTTCGAGTGAATTCTAATTTATCACATGTTGTATTTCAGAGGTTGATCATGGTGAGGACACGTCACATGCCGGAGGGTGCCGGAGCTAGTGATGAGGAGATTCGACATATCATTCATGAGGAGGTGGCTGCGGTCATCAGAGCTGAGATACCAGAGATGTTCGGGTCTATTAAGACCGCGCTGATTGAGACGTTTGACGAGCGTTATGCCGCTCTTTCTGAGGCTGCTGTTGCAGCGGCTACCGCAGCGATCGCTGCGGCGAGACCCCAGGGAGGTGATGCGTCACTGTTTCGGGAGTTCAGCAACACCAAACCACCAGAGTTTGATGGTACACAGGATCCGGTGGCAGCTATGAGGTGGATATCTGATATGGAGGGGTGCTTCTTCACTTGCTCATCTCCTGAGCATCTGAAGGTTCGGTTCGCGCTGAACCAGCTTCGCTTGGGAGCGAAGGACTGGTGGAAGTTTGTGACGGCGCATTTCACGTCTGCTGAGCTTTCGGCAGTGACCTGGGAGAGGTTCACTACCATGTTCCGAGATGAGTACGTTCCCCAGGTGGAGAGGGAGCGTTTGGCACAGGAGTTTCTGACCCTCAAGCAGGGTACTGAGTCAGTTACAGCGATCACGAGGATGTTTCATGAGAGGGCGATGTTCTGCCCTGAGCACGTGTCCACTGAGCAGGCACGTATGAGCCGCTACCTGAGCATTTTGAGACGGGATATTCGGGAGTTCGCCGCGAACTCCTCGTATCGGACATTTGCTGAGCTTCAGGCAAATGCCCGGAAGAGGGAGATTGAGCTTGAGACTCAGGCCAGGGAGGAGGCGGAGTCTCTGGGGAGGGATCGGCGGCCGGCACAGCTCCAGCCGGCAGCCAAGC